TCAAAGTTGTACAGAACGGAAGCATCCATGATCTCGTCCGCTTCGTCAAGCACAAATATCGAGTAATGCTCAATGAAGTGCAAGATTCTCAAAACCCAAGCAAGAGACTCTTTTGATTCTTCCATGTTTTGCAATAGCAGTTCCTTCCTAGCATTCAGCAAGCATTGGATGCTGTTCATCGAAGACACAAACACATCGCCGCGATCATGGGCCATTGTAAGGCGATAGTACAGATAGCGCAGATACGGTTCGCTGTATCCATAAGGCGATCGTTCTGATTTGAATTCGAAAACGCTTTTGCCGAAAAAGTCAAAAATCCACTGCTGAAGTTGCAAAATGTTTTGGTTGAGGATGGAATTGGGAAAGATGAAGATCGGCAATTTCCTCAACACCGATGTTGCCACGATTGCGGCAACCGGACCGAAACGCGTGGTCTTTCCGCCAGCCATGCCCTGTTGCACAACGTAAGACCCTCCGTGCATCATTTTGTCTAAAATTGTCGACATAATGGTCCTCTGTTCTTCATACAACGGATATTTTGTGAAAAACTCGATGAGAATGAAAACCTTGTCTTGCACAGTGACAGGTAATGGTTGACCAGGCTTGTCTCCTGCTTGTTGAGTAGAAGCTTCCTTTTCCTCGAACCAGGCCTGGCAAAAAGTATTTTTTTGCAAAAAGGAAGACTTGCAATAAAAGAATGTGATGAAATGGGACCACAAAAGATCAAGTAGCTCCGGGACCTTTTCAGAATTGACTGTGAAAAATGTCCCCAGTTCCTCAACCGACCCACAAAGCAATATTTGGGCGAGAAGCCTGGGGTCTTTTAAGGCTCCCAGGGGAAACCCGTAAAGAAGCTCATCAGTGGACACTGTTGATTTCAATTTCTGTTCAACTGAAGCAGCATCACTAAAGAATGTAAAGCTTGCATTTCCCTTGAAGAAATCAGATGAAAGGGCATTCCTTTGCATGGTTATGTTTAGCAGATTTTCATAGTCTGGAGGAGGCGATGGGAGTATTTTAGTAATTTTAAACGATGCCTCATAAGGGATAAATGACTTTAATTCCACGGATCGGTCATAAATGTCCAACAGTTCGTAAGGAAATGTGTTTTTTTTAAATTTAGCAAAAAAAGTTGCGAGTTTTTCCTGATCAGGGAGCCTGTTGAAGACCATAAAGATCACATGAAATAAGCAGACAATTTTGTAATTGTCCTTATCTTTCTCCATTTCAAGATAAAATCGGATAAAGCCGAGATAATCAGAATTTAATCTTCTCCTAAAATCAGCTAAATCTTTGGATAGTCCAGCTAGGTCATATAGAAAAGAGAGGTAGCTCGGGAAGTGAAAATATTGAAATTTACTCCAATGGGTCAGCTCTAGTTTTAGAAAACTATCTCTATAGATTTTAGCGTGAAAATCTTGGATAGCATTCT